ACAGCAAGGTCAACTCTGTATAATTTTTTGATAACTTATTTCAACTTGTATAATTTATTTATTGATTAATAATAATAATAATAATAGCAACAAAAATAGAGCCTTCAGTAATCCATTGATTTACTTCCTTCCGTTCTTCATATATCATTTTTCATTCTCATAGCAGTTAGAAATAAAATTGACAAGATTATTGACAAATTTTTATTTATTTTATTAAAGCATTTGTGAACGGTCGGTTCTTTCATTTGCTATTTTAAATTGAAATGGAGAAAAATAAACGATGGCGAAGTTCGATGAAGAAGTTGAAATTGACCAGTAAAGTACGCATGGCTAAGATTAACTGACCATTTTGTTTCTCTTATCCGGATAAGCATAGCTAAGATTAACTGACCATTTTGTTTCTTTTATCCGAAAATTTTCTTCGAAAGATCACATTACAGATTTCATCTCATTTATCTAGGAATTGTTTTATAACTTTATTTCAGTTTTTTCTTTTTACCTCTAATCCTTTAAATTATTTGAAATGGAATAGAAATTGATTGTTTGAAATAATTTTAAACTTTCATTTTTCCTTTATTTTGTGAATATTTTAGGAAAAAACAGGTGAAGTATTATCAAAATTATCAAGTGAGGAATTATCAAATCCTAACGAGATTAATACAGATTTATCAAAAGAGAAAATCGAGAAAAGTTCGAGTAAGAAAAGAGCTGGAAAAATAAGTGAAAAAATTGAGAAGCGAACGGGTCGAAAAATTACGAAAGCTTCCAGGGAAAAACATTTTGGTTCCAAAGAACCTAGTTCTTTTTCTAGCGAAAATGTGAGAGAAGATTTTGGTTCCAAAGAGACTGTTGGCAAGTTTTCTGGCTCCAAAGAATTTTCAAGAGAAATTTCTGGCTCTAAGGAAAGCACGAAAGACAGGAAAAGTAAGTCAAAAGAATCACTGAAATGTACCATTAGCTCAAGAAGCACGGAAAAATTAAAAGATAAACCAATGGGATACAATAAAAAGGTATGTTTAGGTTAAATACAATTATTTAGTAAACTATTTTATGATCTTTGAATTCGTTGTAAAAATTCAGATAATTATGAAAAAATATAATTTCAAGCGCAAAATATGGCACATATATATTTTTTTCTTTTCAGAAAGTGTATATGGGCCAAGTTTTTGGGACAAAAAAAGCGCCAAGACGAAAATCGGTAGAGCATTCATTAACAAATTCTGGACATTTTCAATGTTTTTGAGCTTGATATTCCCATATCATAGTGATATTTCAATTTGATTATTTTGATGTGGAGTTGATGAGAAGAGAAAGGAAGAATTTGTTTAAAAAATTATTTTAATGAATTCTTTGAGAAGAAAAGAAAAAAAATTGGCCGAGGAATTTTGATCAAAAGTTGTAATTGAATATTGTATATCACTGAATAATTCTACAAATAGGAGCGAAGATTTATTGTAAATTAATTTAATTAGAAAATGAATTAAGTTAGAGTGATGGTAAAGTTAATGATTTAGACAATTATGTGGAATGATTATGAACCAGAAATGGTTCATCTGCTATGAATAATTTTATAAATTCAGCAAAAAAAAAACAAAAAACAAAAAAATTGATTAGTTTCTTTTAGAGACCCTTATATTACATCGATCAGTATGATGAAACTCCAAGGAGTCTTCAGAGTACTGAAGATTTATCAGAAGACAGAAAAGAAACTTCAGTTAGCTTTTTTTTTCTTTTTTTTTTTCGAAATTTCGACCATTTCGAAAGTAAGCATGTCAATGCTAAACTAAATTCTGTTTGCATGTATGCACTTATAATATATCCGATATGGAGATGTATGATTCATTTTTATTTTAAGGCCTAAGCAAAATTCAATATTTTAAATTTAAAAAATAATTGAATGTAAAATAATAATTTATAAATGATAATAAAATATTAATATATAATAATATGTACAATAATAATAATAATAATAATAATAATAATAATAATAATAATAATAATAATAATAATAATAATAATAATAATAATAATAATAATAATAATAATAATAATAATAATAATAATAATAATAATAATAATAATAATAATAATAATAATAATAATAATAATAAT